GACTACTTAAATATGCCACTATTCTTCATCTTCAGAGAGGACATTTTCCTTATGCTTTTATTGCCTGTGAAAGCTAACCCTATCTCTGATAATGACACCATTTTTGATGACATGGATGAATATATCTAAAATTCAAGTTATCGTCCTAGCAAAGTGGTAATCCTGTAAGGAAGGTCAATGAAAGCATGCCTATTAAGCCAAAGTCTGTGTAAGAAGCAAGGAAGGTAGTCTTAGTGATTTTCTCTCAAACCTGCTATCTGATTTCTACTAGAATGTACATGTATTTACCAGGTTAAATCCCCTTGTTCATCTTGTTTCTAGCACTTGTTTGTTTTCAATTGCTAGAGACAAGTAAACAGAATCAGGTATCATTTTTGGTATTCTCAGAAAAAAGTTCATTCAGATGCAACTAATCCTTCCCTGCTTATTATTTAGTAACCAATAGGAGTTGGGAATCCCAGAAGATAGATTTTTTTTAAAGATTCTAACATTTTTATAGTTTAATGACATTCTAATCTCCAAAAGTTATTCATTAAATTTATAGAACTCCACTCTAGAAACAGACCTATAGTTTCAATGAAGTTATCTTATGGACATGGTTCCAAATTAACAGATGGGTGTGTTTTTTCAGATCAATTATATACACATATATAACATATTTAAAGAGAGAAATAATACAGAATACATTTTATTTTAAGAGTTAAAGAAGTGGGAAACATATATGGAACTATGCCTCTCCATAAATGATTCCTACAAAAATTACTTATATTACAATTAAAAATAAACTGAAGTTAAATGTCCTCAATGTGTATGCATACACACACACTGATGGGTAATATGTATTTTCACCCAAAAATGCCTCTTGTGAAATGAAGTTTTTTCCTATAGAACTATTAAAATTGACAGTGTCCCAAAAATAACTTTAGAATAAAATACAGGCAATTCGGCCCTGATTTTACTAAAACAACTCCTACCACTAAGCTGCTAATACTGCCACTATTATTGCTATTATTATTATTATAGATAGTTTTAAAATATATAAAGAGTAGGAAAGATAACTGACATTTTGAATAAGCCTGTTCTGGAAATTACTTCTTTAAAACCATTATGCCATTACCTTTCGTGTGCTGTAAGTTTATTGAAAGCTGTTTTTTATCCTGTATGATTGGGTCATCCCAATAATGAAAATTTGAGCAAAATCAATACACTCAATATCCATGTTCTAGAGTAAATACACAGAAGTGTTTCTTGTAATGGGTTTTACTGGCAATGGCAAACCATTTTTCTAGTAACAGCTTTAATAATTTGTAATCATTAAAACACACAGAAGCAATGAAGAAATGGGGAAAAGAGGTCAGGAAACACATATAGAAAAATAGGAGATTGACCCTCTGGATCACCCTGGTCTGTAATCAAACCAAGGGTTGCAAAGCAATTGGACAAGGCCATCCTTAAAGCAGAGCAAATATAAAAATGTGTTTTTAAAGGATATGAAAGCCCACCCATACATAATGCAGCATGAAGATCAAAGAGTGTACTTTCGTGACTGAATTGATCATCATCCACTCCCAGAAAATGAGCAGACAATAAAAGTGAAATGTATTGCTCATGAGTAATAACAGGGGGGAAATATAAGCATAGAAGAACTAATTTTATTTTCGCACTGATAATCTAAATCTAATCTGGAGGAAATTCATATTGACATCCCAGGGAGAATTCATTGAGACAGCCTTTTTAAACTCTGGCATGGTATAGTTGAGTACTTCCATTTAAAAATTTGCATGCTCAGTCTCAGAAAGAAGTGATGCTTTGTGCTGCCAAACTTATTTTTGAGTAGCTGCTTAACAATTTCCTTTGCCATTGCTGAAAAGGGTTATAATCTGAACTGCTCAGTTTGGTGTACGAAGCCCTCCATAATCTGGTCCAAATAAATTCTTCAGGCAATTCTACCATATAAGAAAAATAAATAAATTTAAATTCTAACAAGTCAAATTTGTACACTTTCCTTTACAGCAAATCTCTTTGTAATCTTTAGGAAAATGGCAGTGCTTTTCTGATTGAACTCTCTCATGCCTTTAGAATATTGAAGGATTTAAGTCAATTGGAGAATGTGTAACCTTTTACATGGTTGGCATCAAAGTGTCTGCACAAAGGGAAAAACAATTTAAATTTGAGCAAGTCTCACTCTAACCTTCAATTATAAGTGATTTATTTTAATTTTTCAAGTTCACATGAATGTATTCCTTGATCTAAAATTATCTACTATTAAAACCAGGGTCTACCTAGAAATAGAATAAAAATTTACTATGTGATTTGACAAATTAAAATACATACACATATTTTGCCCTAGCCGGTTTTACTCAGCGGATAGAGCATCAGCCCGCGGACTAAAGGATACCGAGTTCAAGTATTGTCAAGGGCACATACCTTGGTTGCAGGCTCTATCCCCTGCCCTAGTCATGCAGGAGGCAACCAATCAATGTGTCTCTCTTACTCTCTCCCCTTCCCTTCCACTCTCTCTAAAAATTAATGGAAAAATATCCTCAGGTGAGGATTAACAAATGTATTTACTTGTTAATGTTTATTTGCTTAATGTTTTTTTTCACTGAATAAATAAAAAAGTACATAATCACACAGAAAATTATCTAACTAATTATTATTGTAAACATGGTCATTTTGGTAAGCATTATTACAAAATGAAAGAATCATTAATATAGAACTACTTAGAAAATAGAAACTTCCAATATATTGGGTATAGTTGTTTTATTATTAAAAACACATATATCTGCACATCATTTGTATAAAAATTACAATTATAAATTTTGTGTTATAAGATTGGTTATTTATTTTAAAAGTATACTATTTAACATATTTAACTCATTGACCTACATATTATCCATAAGCATAGGATTGTATCCATATGAACCATATGTTTGGGAGATAGTAGTGATTTAAACAAAAAGGTATAGTTATTTTGATTAGTTTATAACATATATATAAAATTATTATATTACATATAATAATTCTAGTATAATAATCAAATACATATATATATACAAAAATTACATTGAGAAAGCTCTGATAATTGAGTTCTAAATTCAAGAGTTTCATCATAGCATATAAGTTAATGAAAAATATTCACAAGATTCACTATCTTGATACTTTGAAAATAAATATAACTTCCAATATGTTAGTTAACTATCAACAAAGAAATGCAACTAAACACCAAGCATGCATATCCTTATGTCCATAACCTCTATACACATGACAAAATACATCCCTATACTAGATGGAAATGAGTGGAAGGAGCTTTGCCTAAAAACAAAATTATTCTAGAACCATTTCGTAGATATAAAAATAAAGGCCTAAACCTCTAACAATCGCTTCTAGTTTCCTGAGTTTCAGTTACAACTCTCAGATAGCTTTGTGTTTTAGGTTGGTAGATGGTCATGGGAAAGCAGAGGTGTGCACATGCACAGACATATACATGCACCAGGGAGTATACACATGTACATGATAAGAAAATGGGTGTCAGAGAGAAAGATTTTCAGAAGCACATAAAATATTGAAAAGAAATGTTGCTCTAAAATGCTTTGTTGTTATCCTTGAATTAAATTTCTACAAAATTAGAAAACAACTCCTTTTCCCAACTGATTATAATTTAATGAAAGTGAACTCACAACTATTTAAGTTAGGTAGCAGGAAAATTTTATGTCGTTGCATGTGTGTGTGTGTGTGTGCGCGCGCGCATACATGTTAAACTTTCCATATCACCCCCCAAAATATTAACAAGTATAACTGTTCTAACTCTAATATTATTTAAGAATTTTGCTTATATTTTCTCCTCAATTTCCATTCATTTCCATACAGAAAATAAGGCGAGCTTTTCTCTTTATTCTGGCATGAGTAAAGCCACACAAATAATTATAACACTGATTGTCAGATTGCTATAGCATACATGTATATATTTCAAGCACAGCAACAACCAGATATACTGGTTTTCTCAACAGTATTGTTTCTCTGATATAGGGATTAAACTACTGAGGAACCAAACAAATCTCTCTAAAGCATTCAAATGACTCCAAAGACTTGGACTATAGAGTCTCCAGATACAGAAAATCATGTGGTGAGCTAAAATTTCACCTGAGATAGATACTCCATCCTCCCTTTCACTTAATCCATCCAGTTATTTCAAATTTCAATGTGTTTTCTCAGAGTGTCTGTCACATCCAGAGCATACTTAGAGATTAAAATATATTGGCAAAATGTATTGAGCTCGGGAATTTTTAATATTGAGCTTCATTAACTATTACAACTCATATGACTTTCGTTCTGCCCTGCCCTTAGGAATCTATATTAAGGTGGTGTGTAAGGATTTCACAAAGTAATGTGCCAAAAAGCCTTTAATATATTTCCACAAAACAACCCTTGTCTAATATGGAGTGGAATTTCCTATTCAAAAGAAAAGAAGAATTTGGGGACACAGTTTGTCAGGTGAAACACAGTTCTTCAGGTTGTAACAGTGAAGCAGGCTGCTCTATATCACAACTAACACCCCACCCCCCAAAAAAAAAAATCAAAACCCTTTCCTGTACCAGCCAACTTTTCATTCCATCAATTTTTCTTTAGCATTTCCTGCACTGTTTCCAAAGTGAAACTGCTATGAGTGAAAGATTTTTCATATTGAATAATTGAGAATTGAGCCACTTAAAACTCCTTTAAGAATAATAAATTGAAAAGCCTCTATGTAAATGTTTAGATTCTCTTTTCAACTCCTAACACTACACAGCTTTTCCTGAAATATTAATAGTACCAAAGCAGGTATAGTAGAATAAATTTCTTAATGATATTTTCCTTTAAAAAATAAAGTCTACGAGTTCTGCATGGCTATATATAGAGAAAGCCATTTTTTGTGTGCACATACTCTTATGAGTGCCATCATCTAACAAGTAAAATTCAGATCACAGAGAAGAAAGCTAACAGATGAAGAAATTGCTCACCTGTAGGAAGCAGATCAACAGACTGAAGTCTACTTGTGATGGTGTGTAGGGTGAGGATAGCAAAGGAAAGCAAAGTCGGGAATGCTTGAAAAATAAAATATTTTTAGTTAACAAATAGAAAAACCAAGTGGGAAAAAAGGGCCAATTGAATCATGAATATTTTATTGATTTCCAATTATCTTTTAAAATTCTTTAGATTGACTAATTCCTAAAAAAAAATAAGGTCATTTGGCATTTCCCCAAATAGCTGACTTATTCTTATTGGAAGAAAATCACTGTTTTGGATAATTTCAGTTTAGATGAGATAGAAACAGTACAAAGTAACATTAATGCATAGGTTGATGGGAAATATACTTTAGTGATGATGATGGATGCATTTATCCTAAATAAAATAAAAACTTTTCAGCAATAATGGGTAGATGTAAACAAGCAGGCCAGCAATATTAAAGTTGTAAACTGCCTATTTTTTAATTTCCCTAGAAAGCAAGGCTTTAATAAAAACATTTACTACATCTTAACTTACTTACAAAATGTATATTGTCTGGAACTTGAAACAACAGACTATTTATAATTTAATTCTTTAGTCAATCACATTGAAACCTTCAATTTTTAAAAATGTATTGACTTTAGTAATGAGAAAATATGTATTTTGTAACAATTTCTACTCTATCTTTAAAAACAAAACATTTATACAATATAAAAGTAAGGAAATATTACATTTTTTGTTTTGCTTTTTATGACCATGTAACTTAGGTCATTATAGATATGTATAATTGATCAATTTCTTAGACTTAGAAAAAGAGAACATTTTGTTTGCTTTAATCTTATTTATATGTGTAGTGAATATATGAAATTGATTACCGTCTAAAATGCTTCCAAAAAATGTCTGTCAGTGAGCAAAAGTAGCTCTTTATTTTAAATAGTCTCACTTTCTTATTTTCAACCTTATTCAACATCTGTTGTTTGCCCCTCCCCTGAAATGTAATTATGCAGGATTCCAATGTAAAACAGGTTGAGTAGTTAATAACAGGAGCTCAAACATTTTTTCCACATTGTTGGCCTACAGATGTTTCTTTCATTATTTTTGTGTTATCCCCTGGCTTCTTGTTTAATTTGTGTACGTTTCTCGCCTGTTCTTAAAGTATATTCCCACAACAGATGGAAACACCTGAAAATAAGTCTGCCTCGTGCACATGTTTAAATGATGCCTGTTGTGATATTTAACATTGTAAAGAGAGTAGAGGATATCCAGAATATTTGTTTAGGGGAAAAGAAATAACTAATATGTAAATTACCTTGTTACTATGCTTAATTCAAAATTCAGAGGAGATAATTTAGTTCTTGCCAAAGACATATGAGGAATACTTTATAGTCTACAACCTGCTTTTTTTTTTTTACCAGACTCACTTGTCTTTTTTTGCAGTTGACACAATACTCTTAAATTTTCAGTCCTACCAGAAATTGAATATTTTCTATCCACTGACCATTTTACAATGCAAAGGCACTTTACATTCTCTTGATAAAAATCCAAATTTAGAAATCAATATCTAAAATATTTTAGATATATTCAAAATATGCCATATATATGTACACACACACACACACACACACACACACTTATTAGGTAATATAACCAGAGTCACATAAAGCATAGAACCACTTTATTCAGAAAAAATATATCCCATCCAAGTTATAGAATATATAGAAAAACAGTGTAGGCTGAACCCTGGGTTGTATATTATCTCCCCCAGTAGTCACATTCCCTGTAACAAAAGAATATGATCTTATTTGAAAAGAGGGTCCTTGTAGATGTAATTACTTAAGATGATGTCATATTGGATTAGAATGGGTCCTGATCCAAAAGCTGGTGTCATTACAAAAAGAGTAAACTGGGAGAAAGAGTTCCGCCAGGAGCATGCCACATGGTGATAAAAGTAGAGATTGGAGCCTTTGACTAGACTTGCTGGCTGGGGACAAGGGAGAATTCTCCCCTGGAGCCATCAGAGACCATGGCCCTGCTGATACCTTGATCTTGTATTTCTGGTCTTCAGAACTGGGAGAGAAAAAATTTCTATTCCTGTAAGTCACCATCCCAGTTTATGGTTTTTTGTTTTTTTTTTTTTTACTCTGGCAGTCCTAGGAAACCAATACTGATTTTGGTACCCGGAAGGGAAGTGAGGTGCTATGACAACAAACACCTAACTAAAACTATGGCAGTGACTTTTGAATTGGCTAATGGGAATAAGCTGGAAGAGTTTTGAGATGCCTGATTTTTAAAAGCCTTGATTGCCTTGAGTAGACTATTAAAAATATGGACATTCAAGGTGATTCGGCTGGTATTTCAGACAGAATAATAGCTGTAGAGAAAAGTGTCTATCATCTTAGAGAATAAATTTATGGCTGTATTATCATGAACAGAAAGTAGATAGAAATGTGAGTGTTAAAGGTGATTCTCCTGAGGTCACAGACGGAAATGCTAATGGACACTGAAAGGCAATCCTTGTTATAAAGTGGCAGGAAACCTGGCCAAATGAATTGTTGGACAGGAAGTAGAACATATCAGTAATGAACTTGACTATTTAGCTGAAGAAATTTCCAAGAAAAGAGTGATATGTACTGCCGGGTTTCTCTTTGTTGGTTACAGTAAAACGTGAGATAAAAGAGATTAATTGAGGAATGAACTGTTAAGCAAAAAGAAACCAGTACTTAGTTGGGAAATTTTTCTGTCTATCCAGGAATCATGCTCTGGAAACAAGGACAAAGGTGTGGCTGGACAGTCATTTGCTATAATGATTAGACATGCGACTTAGGGCCCAATCACCAGCTCAGGAAAAGTCAGGATTGCAAATGGGGTTATTGAGGAAGAATCTGGGGAGGATACTCTTGACTAATGGTGTGAATTCCCTGACTGTCCACAGAAGACAAAGTTATTAAGAATTTTATACTAACAGAAACACTGCTAACATGGATTGAGAGGGACAGAGATGGGACAAAATAAAAGAAAAATGACTCCAAGAATACTGATATAGAAACCAGGAAAGGCAGGTTACTGCCCCAGAGTATCAAGTAAGTTTAAAGTAATAGAGAAAGGTAAAACAGAAAGAATTACTCTCAGGTCCTGGTCAGTGTGGCACAGTGGGTTGGGCATGGTCCCGAGCACAGAGGGGTTGCCAGTTTGATTCCCAGTCAGGGAATATGCCTGGATTGTGGGCTCAATCTCAGGTGGGGGCGATCAGTGTGTCACTCTCACATCAATGCTTCTCTCTACCTCTCTCTCTCTCTCTCCAAAAATCAATAAAAATATATATTTTAAATATTAGCATTACTCTCAGGCCTTGAAGTCTCATGAAATTTGCCCAGCTGCATTGCCAGCTTCCTTTGAACTAGTAACCCCTGAATTCTTTCCATTTTTTCCCTTTCACAATGAGAATTACCTATCCTATACCTGTTGCACTATTGTATTTTGGAAACAGGTAACTTGCTTTGAGTTTGATAGGTCTATGGAAGGAGCAGAATGTTGTCCCAGGAGGGACCCATACCATACCTGATTTAGGTGGTGAAATTTGGGACTTTTTAAGTTAATATTTAGATGAAATTTTGGACTTAAGATTTCATGCTGGAAATTGTTAAGATATTTGGATGATGTTGGGAGGGGGTGAGTGGATTTTGTAAGTGGGATGGACATAAGTTTTGGGGTCCAGAAGGTAGACTGGGTTGAATAGTACTCCCTCACAATTTATGTCCACCTAGAAGATAAGACTGTGATCTTATTTGAAAATAGGTTCTTTGCACATATAATTACTTAAGGTAAAGTTATTTAAATTAATAGTTGGGTGTGTCCTAATCCAATGAAGCTGTCCCTATAAGAGGGTAAATAAGAAACACAGAGACAGACCCGCAAGAACACAGAGTTTTATGCGGAGTAGCCACCAGAAGCTAGGAAGGGCCATGAAGGATCCATTCCTGGAGCTGTGAGAGGTCATGGCCCTGCTGATACCTTGAATTTGGATTTTAGTTTCCATAACTGTGAGGGAATAAATTTCTGTTATTTTAAGCCACACACTTAGTAGTATTTTGTGACAGCAGCCCTAGGAATCTAATACAGACTGTCAAAAAAGAAACTTAAAAACAGAAAATATCCAGAGAGCAAAGCATGACTGTCATGAGTGAAAATGGGACAAATTAAAAAGTAAGTTCTAGGAAAGTAAAGCGAGATTAATGTGACTAAATTAAAATGTTGTCTTCTATATTCTGACTCATAAATAAACTAAATTTGGCATAAGAGATAAGTACACATGCCAGTAAAATTGATGCTGCTGCCACTGAGCGTAAAACTCAACTGATCTCTTTGAGTGTGTGTGTGTGTGGTGCCTTCAAGGCTGTAGACCAAGCATGTCAAACTCGTGGCCGGCAGGTCACATGCCTTGAGTTTGACATGCTGGCTGTAGGCTGCTTCAGGATGAAGCTGAACATCTCTTTCCCAACCACTGGCTGCCAGAAACTCATTGAAATGGACGATGAATGCAACCTTTGTAACTTTGTTTGAGAAGCATATGGCCGTAGAAGTTGCTGCTGACACCTTGGGAGAATAGAAAAGTTATGTGGTTCTAATCAGTGGTGGGAAGAACAAACACGGCTTCCCCATGAAGCAGGATGCCTTGACCCATGCCATGTCTGTCTGCTGTTGAATAAGGGGCAGTCCTGTTATGGATCACAGAGGACTGGAGAGAGAAAGTGCAAATCTGCTCAGTCTTGCATTGTGGATGTCAATCTCAGTGTGCTCAACTTGGTCATTGTAAAAAATGGGGGAGAAAGATATTCCTGGTCTCACTGATACTACTGTGCTTCATCCCCTGGGGCCCAAAAATGCTAGCAGAATCTATAAACTTTTTAATCATTCTAAAGAAGATGATGTCTGCCTCTAAACAAAGAAGGTAAGAGACCAAGAACCAAAGCATCCAAGATACAGCATCTCATTACTTGCTCCACATGTCCTGCAACACAAATGTTGGTATATTGCTCTGAAGAAACAATGTACTGATAAAATTAAGGCCCTAACTTGTTTGTCTCAGTGGATAGAGCAT